ACCGTATTGGGGTAGGATGGATGAAGTGGAGGTTAGCATCTGGAGTCCTGTGTGACAAGAGAGGGCCATCGATACTCAAAGGTAAGTTTTATAAAGCGGCGGTTAGACCAGCCATGATGTATGGGGCTGAGTGTTGGCCCGTTAAGAACTCACATATCCAGAAGATGAAAGTAGCAGAAATGAGGATGTTGCGGTGGATGTGCGGGCACACTAGGATAGATAAGATTAGGAATGATGATATTCGGGAGAAGGTGCATGTGGCTCCCATTGATGACAAGATGCGGGAAGCGAGGCTTAGATGGTTCGGACATGTTCAGAGGAGAAGCCCAGATGCTCCGGTACGGAGGTGTGAGCAGCTGGTTATGGATGGCACGAGAAGAGGTAGAGGGCGGCCTAAGAAGTATTGGGGAGAGGTGATCAGGCAGGATATGGCGAGGCTCCAGATTTCCGAGGACATGACACTTGATAGGAAGATGTGGAGGTCGAGTATTAGGGTTGTAGGTTAGGAGGTAGTTGAGTCGTGCCTTACTTTGTACCATATTGGGACTAGCCATGTAGGGTTTTTGTCTAAGATAGCTATTGGCAATGTTGTGGCTTACTATTTCACTTTTTAGTGCATGTCCTATTTACTAGCTATCGCTTTTGCTTTGCATCTTTCTTCTAGATTTCATGGTGTTCCTATTTTTCTTATGATTATTGTGGTGATACTAATATTTACTAATATTGTCTCCCTTTGCTTTGCATCTTTCTTCTGGATTTCATGGTGTTCCTATTTATCCTATGATTGTTGTTGTGTTACTAATATAGTTTCTTTTTGTCATTCTGTCATTTTGTCTCTTTATTTTTTTGAGCCGAGAGTCTTTCGGAAACAGCCTCTCTACTCCTTCGAGGTAGAGGTAAGGTCTGCATACACACTACCCTCCCCAGACCCCATTAGTGGGATTTTATTGGGTTGTTGTTGTATAATTGAAGGTTAATCGTATTGCAATCTTATTTATTGAATTTATTATATATTAATGATAAATTATTTAATTTCACCTGCTGTAAAAAGTTCTTTGGTTTATTTATTATTCAAAAACATATTTCAATAATCTCAAGTGATTATTTAAAATCTTGTAAAATATAACTTGGAATACAGAGACTAGTAAAAAAATATAAGCAAACATGTCCTTTGCTTATAAAATTGTAAAATTTCCTTCATGTTTGACCACTCTACATTACGGAGAATACTCAGAACTTCAAACCTCTTCAATGGCGAACCCCTTAGATCTGAAAAAACATGGCAAAATTTGCAATGAAGCATCTCAAATAGCAGTAGTAATAGTGCCATATTTAGAACAAGGACATCTCAATCCCCTCCTCAATCTCTCAGGTCTCCTCTCATCTTACAACATTCCCATATATTTCCTAGGCACTAGCACTAGTAATCGACAAGCAAAGTTTCGAGTATGTGGTTGGGACATTCTTGATTTTCCGACCATCCAATTTCATGACCTTGTACCTTCTAGTTCTTCCTCTACTCTTACGAACTCCTCTGGTGAGTCAATAATGGAGAAAATAGGCTCACTTTTCACATCCATTTTGCTACTTCGTGAGCCTATTCGTCATTTTTTGCGAGAAATCTCAAGCACATATAGAAGGACAGTGGTCATTAATGACTCAGGTATAAAGAGGCGGGTTCAGAATTTAAATCTGATGAATACAACTTTTAATCATAGGAATATATATATTTATGCTTTGTTACACGAATTTAGTTAAATCCGTTGAACCCATATTGCAGGTATGTCATGGGTTGTTCAAGATGCAGTTTCATTGCCCAAAACAGAATGTTACTGTTTTCACTCAATTTCTGTTTTCACTGCTCTGTCATTCGCCTGGGAAACAACAAGAAAGCCAATTCCATCTCCAGTGGCTGAAATAATAGCAGAGCTTCCTCCGAGGGAAAACACTTTTGATTCAGAAACTTTGGAATACATAAAGCTGCAGCGTGAGGCAAGAGATTTTTATTCTATTGGTCTTCATAATTCTTGCAAAGAAATAGAAGGTGTTTTTATTGATTTGCTAGAAAAACAAAGAGAAAACAAGCAATGGGCAATTGGTCCACTAAATCCAGTGGAAATATCTAAGAAAAAAGCTGGATTGGATAAAAAAGATGACTTATTTTCATGGCTTGATAAACAAGATTTGAATTCAGTGATTTATGTTTCATTTGGGTCCACAACTACACTATCAAATGAACAAATCAAAGAGCTGGCACTTGGTTTAGAACAAAGTGGACAAAAGTTCATATGGGTTCTAAGAGAAGCAGATAAAAAAGGGGGTGACAATGTCAAAAAAGGAAGTAACTTTGAGTTACCAAAAGGGTATGAAGAGAGAATAAAAGGAAAAGGGTATATAGAAAAATATTGGGCACCCCAATTGGAAATCTTGGCACATCCATCAATTGGTGGATTTATGAGTCATTGCGGGTGGAATTCTTGTATTGAGAGCATTTCAATGGGAGTTCCAATAGCTGCTTGGCCGATACATTCGGATCAGCCAAGAAACACTGTGCTGATAACAAAGGTACTGAAAATTGGCATCGTTGTGAGAGATTGGGAAAATAGGCATGAATTAGTGAGTGCTGAGAAAATTGAAAATGCAGTGAGGGATTTGATGGGTTCGGCCGAAGGAGAGGAGCTGAGGCGGAGAGTGAAAGAGTTGAGTGGCGCTGTGAAGAAATCAGTTATAAATGGCGCCAGTCGTAAGGAAATGGATTCCTTTGTTGCTCATATTACCAGATAAATTTACCTTTGCGTTTGAAAATATTATGGAAATGAAAACTAACAGGACAAGTTTAGGGGACTGCCTATGTATTTGGCAATATGTATTTCTAAATCAAAGGAATAGAGACACTTTGATCAATATTACTAAAAGAATCATTTCTAGCCAAGTAAAATTGGCACATGTTGATTTTGGCTGTACCCCACATGTGCCTCTAGTTACTTAATAACAATTAAGCAGGGAATGAACAGTGAATTGGTGAACGGGGCTACAACTCTCGAAACGACCGGCCGAGTCGTTACACTGAGTAGTTACTTGGATATGACGGGAGTGAAGGATACAATCTATGGTCGCTAAAACTGAGTATTGATAAGAATGTTTATACTGTAATCTTCATAATTTCACCCCATAAACAACCATTGTTGAGATTGGAGAAACAAAATTGTGGTTTTTGGGAGTGTTCTAGGGTAGATTGAAGCAATCATTGGAACTTACCATCAGTCAACAAAATTTCCGGCTGGGTGGCAACGACTTTATGAAAATAATGAAAGAAGAGGAAGAGAAAGAAAAAAAATAAAAAAATAAATTAATTTTCAAATATGTAACTGATGACCCAAAATATCATCTTTAAATTTAATGATTAATTATTTGATCTAAGCACTATTTACCATTACTCGACTTGAGTGTGCAGTCCGTAAAAAATTTTCGAAAAGTTTTCAGGTGAAAAATGAATTAAAATGTGAATTAGAGGTTTAAAACTCAACTGAGTTGACTTTGGTCAACATTTCTTGCAAACAGACACGGATCAGTATTTTAAAAATTTTGGTAGGTCTGTATCGTGATTTGGGACTTAGGCATATGCCCGGAATCAAATTCCGAGGTCCCTAGCCTGAGATATGGAATTTTGATGAAAATTAAAAGTTTAAGTTTAAATAGTGATCGGATGTCAAATTATGTGCAAACGATCCCGGAATAGAATTTTGATGATTCTAACAGCTCCGTATGGTGATTTTGGACTTAGGAGCGTGATCGGAATTTTATTTGGAAGTCCGTAGTGGAGTTAGGCTTGAAATGTCGAAAGTTGAATTTTTGGGAAGTTTGACCGAGGGGTTGACTTTTTGATATCGGGGTCGAAATCCGATTCTGAAAATTCTCATAGCTCAGTTATGTCATTTATGACTTGTGTGTAAAATTTGAAGTCATTCCGAATTGATTTGATGTGTTTCGACACAAGATATAGAATTTGAAAGTTCAAAGTTCATAGATTTTGATTTGAGGTGTGATTCGTCGTTTTGATGTTGTTTGATGTAGTTTGAAGCCTTGACTAAGTTTGTATGGTATTTTGGGACATGCTGGAATAATTGGTTAAGGTCTCGAGGGTCTCGGGTGGATTTCGGAAGGTAAACGGAATGGATTTCGGACAAAGAGTGCTGGAAATTGCAGAAATTTCTGTTGCAGAAATTTCGTGCATGGAGCCAACTTTGGAAGCTTATATCTCGCAATTCATAAGGAATTAGAAACTGTGCAAAACATAAAAGTTGTAGTCGATTGATTATAGGTTCCAGAAAGTTAAACTATGCATTATTTGGATATTTGTACAAAAAGTTATAATGGATTGAATGAAGGCTGGTAGAGCGGTTTCGCCAGAATTTTGCCAGAAATTCTCAGAAATTCTGATGCATGCAGCCGACTTTGGGAGCTTATATCTCGCAAGTCATAAGGAATCAGAATAATTGCAAAACATGAAAGTTGTAGTCGGTGGATTCTAGTTTCCATAAACTTAAACCATTTATCATTTAGACATTTGTACATAAAGTTATGATCAATTGAAGTAAGACTGGTAGAGCTGTTTCTGGTGGACTTTTAGTGACGAAAAATGGACTTTTAGTGACGGATTGACAGAAACTTAAGGACCAAAAATGGTCATTTCATTCATTTCGTTTTGGATTTTTGGAGCACGGTTCTTGGGCGATTTTTGGGCGATTTTCATGGGAAAATATTGGGGTAAGTGTTCCTTATCCTATATTGATTATATTTCATGATTCCATACTCATTTACATCATGAATCCGTGAATTTATGGAAGAAAAATCAAGATTTTTGCAAAATCTTCCAAAAATGAAAATTTAAGATTTGGAGGTCGAGTTGTTATCAGTATTTGGTAAAATTGGTATGGATGGGCTCGTAATTGAATTGGTTGTCGAATTTTATAAGTTTCTCCGAATTCCGAGATGTGGGCCCCACGAGCAAAATTTGNGGGTGGACTCGTAATTGAATGGGTTGTCGGATTTTATAAGTTTCGCCGGATTCCGAGATGTGGGCCCCACGGACAAATTTTGAGCTAATTTCGGATTTTAATAAAAATGTAATATTTTCTTATGAAATTGATTACTATAATTTTTGTTGACTGTATCGAATTAATTATGACTAGATACGAGTCGATCGGAGTCGGAAAATCCAGGAAAAAACAAAATACTTGGTTAAATTGGAGCAAGTCGAGGTAAGTGACTTGTCTAACTTTGTGTGAGGGAAATTCCCCTAGGATTGATAATTGTAATGTGTGTAAAGTCGTGTACACGAGGTGACGAGTGTGTATACGGGCTAAATGTGAAAGATTATATTTTAAATTGTGTAGATCATTATTGCGCTTTAATTAAATTATTTTATTTTGTTATATTCTTCATTTTTGATTTAATGTTTATATTTTTTTAATTTGCTTGACCTTTTTCTGCTAATTATTTATTTTTGTTTAATTGGAACTTGGTTTCTTTTATTCTGTGCATTATTTGAA